AATCTATCTGACAGCACTGAGTGTCGTCCTTCATCCTCTGAACACCACAGCCCGACACCGCCCCTCTGAACTCACTGATACTCACATCCCATTGGCTGTTCAACTCGCTACTTCAGGCTGCGGCCGTCAGTGCACATGTCCTATCGTTGGTCCAAATCTGCACATTGATTTGGGGACAATGACCTGGCTGATAGCGAGCTAGTCTCGTTAAACATTCTGTCACATTATATTTACTGTTTGTCACTGACTTTGAATCCTAGCCTAGCGTTAGCTCTCTGACTCGTAGCCTGGCGTTAGCTCTCTGAGGTGATTAGCATGGGGTCATCCCTATGTTCCCCACTAAGGTTAGGGTTAGGTCAAGATTAAAACGCAGCACTCTGAAGAGTGCTACGAGGGGGCTCTGGCACAAGGTTACTATGATTTGTAAAAATATTCTTGTCTTTTAAAATAAACCAAATCGGGGGGCGCAAGATGGCGGCGTAGAGTGAGCACCACAATAGGTCAGCTCCGGTGGCATATAACAGGTTATGTGTGAATTCTTTATCTCTGTGCGATAAAAATACGAAATTTTGATCAGGAGGTATCCTATCATGAGCCTGGACACTTATTTTCTGCAAACCTCAGACAGTATTAAGAAAGCAATGAAAAAAACGGCCAAGGCCAGCTCTCACTCGAGCCCTGACAATGGAGGTGAGCTAACCGATGCTAACTCAAGAGTTATGGAGCCATGTCTTATTCAAGCTTTGGATAAGATAACTGACAACCTCACTAAAGTCATTGACACCAAAGTTGCCACGGTCTTAGAGGCCATTAAAGAGCAGACCTCGCAGTTGCAAGCAATTGCCACGCGTTGCAGAAGCTGAAGAGCGAATTGCAGATGTTGAAACTACAGCTACATCCTCAGAGGCTAGGATAACGGCTCTTGAAAAACAAGTGCGCGACATGCTGGAGCCTGTCGATGATCTTGACAACCGAGGCCGCAGATGCAATGTGCGTGTGGTTGGATTACCTGAGGACACTGAAGGACCTGATCCGATAAAGTTCTTAGAGAAATGGATCCCCGAATATCTCCAAATGACAACAAAAGACGGTCGACTGAAGCTTGACCGGGCTCACAGATCCATAGTATCGAAACCTGGTCCAAATCAACGTCCAAGACCACTAATACTAAAGTTCCACAACTTCCGAGACAAACAGCGGGTGATGGATGCTGCGCGCCGACTCGGATCTCGCCGACGCGACCGGGACGACTCCGCACCCGAGAGCCCAAAGTTTAATTCTTCAATGACTACTCGGCTGAAGTGGTTCGGAGACGTAAGGCATTCGACGACATCAAATCCCAATTGAAAAAACTGAACATGGACTATGCTTTGCTTTATCCGGCTATCTTAAGGGTGACAGTGGATGGAAAGCAGAGACGGTTTGACTCTCCGAAGGACGCCGTTTTACTGGCTCAGTCATTGGAAGGAGGACGAGGTATGTCAGATTGACAATATACAAAGCGGACTGAGACATGTTACAGTAACAATACGGTGTATGGATAACCTCCTGTTCGACTTATGTGTGCACTTTATATTTTATTGGGCAGCAAATGATAGCCACTGTGAGTGCGCTTGGATGTTTTTTTCTTTCTTCTTTTTTCTATTTTTTTTTCTTGGAATTAAGATTATCACTGCCGAGTGTGGTGTAGTTTAATACTGACACTGTTTTGAATGAGGATTGGATGGCAAGTTTTCTAGTCTTGCCGTGGAGGAAGGTTTGTAATCCCTGCAGGTTAATTGGCAGGGACAACCCCCTTGAACGTTCGCGTTTCTGCTGTGTTTTTCTGTACAGCAGTTCTTGTTCATTTTCTAATTTAATGTTTGTTGTTTTTCTTGGCTCAGTGAACGCACATATGATCTCATATGCTCTTAGTTTCATGTTTCCAGTATACTTTTTCTGTATAAAGGGTCGAATTAGGTAAAATGGTAAGTGACAAGCTACGTCTGTGTACATGGAATATTAAAGGGGTTCATAATCCTGTTAAGAGAAGAAAAGTACTAACTTTTTTGAAGAAGGGACAAATTGACATTGCCCTCTTACAAGAAACACACCTGAGTGATGAAGATCACCTCAAATTGCAGCGGAAAGGTTTTATCAAGTGTTTTTTTTTTCTTGTTCACCTCAAGAAGTAGAGGAGTGGCAATTTTGATGGGAAAACAGTTGCAGTTTTCAATATTGGACTGTATCAAAGATGAAAATGGTCGATATGTTATTGTCAAGGGTGTTTTACAAGGTATAATTATTTCTATACTGAATGTGTACTACCCACCTGCACATCCCTCTAACTTTATAACTAAAGTGCTCCTCGATTTCTCCCAGATTCAGTCAGATATTGCTATTGTGGGTGGAGATTTTAACTGTATACTAAACCCTCTTATTGATAGACTACCTCCTAAAGCTATGCCTCTCTCTTCACAAGCTAAAGCACTCAATTCTATATGTGAGAATCTTGGATTTGTTGATGTTTGGAGAACAACCCGTGCAACAGATAAAGCATACACTTTTTTTTCTGCACCTCATGGTTGTCACAGTAGAATCGATTACTTCTTTTTGTCAGGGCTTTCTCTGCACAGAGTTTTGTCCTGCTCTATTGGCAGTATTTTGATCTCTGATCATGCCGAGTTGGTTTTGGATCTCTCCCTTAAGGGTGTAAACAGTGGAGTAAAATACTGGAGATTGAACACATCTATCT